CAACTGAAAAATAAAATGTTTTGTCATTGTAATAGTAATGTGAATTACAGTGACTATGTAGATCCACATATTCATTATTCATTATTATGCAGAAAAAATGCAGTATATCAAATTGTGTCTAAATTTACCTGTGTTCATAAATGTTAAATTCTGTGTATTCTTTGTTTTATTGTTTAAAATTTTTGGTAGCTAAATTGTTTAGTTTAAAAGGGGGTTTTCCCCCCAGATTGGTGAGATTTTATGATAATCCACACCTTTTATTAAATGTACCTTCTTTGTTAACAAATGAGGAAAAAGTACATAATAAAAATAAGTTGTAAAAGTCAGCAGTATAATAGAATTCAATAATATGGAGTCTGCAACCAAGCGAGAAAACAATTGATCTTTAGTTTTGGAATCTAAAACGTCTACTTTTAATGACTTCCCCTAAACTTTGAAATGGTTCTTTGACTCCTTCCTTGGGGAAAGAGAAAAGCTGTATTGAAGGTATAATGTATCAGGAAATTGACAATGAGAGGCAAGCATCAAACCTTGTGAAACTGAGGTGGTTGCATTTTTGGAATGGCAGCCTGAGGAGTTCTGTGGATCCACTTTCTAGTGAAGCAAATATAAGTGGTGGAGATTGTAGACAACCCTAATCACATAACATCTCTGGAAATTTTCCTAAGGACATACGGTAAATGAAAAAATGTAGGAAGAATTTACTAAAGATTTGTAAGTTGAAGATTCTTTGTTACATGAACTCCAGGTGTGTGCAGCCAAGCATAGAGAACGTTGCTCTCTTTTAGCCAACAGTGGAGGTTGAAAGTCAGGAATGGCACAGTGCTTTCATTTCCTATCTTCCCTACCTCACTGTTGTAGAAGCTAATTTAACAGGCAGTTGCAGTTGTCAGAGGACTACCGTCCTTAACCCAACTCTCATAGAGAAGAATCTCTTCTTAAGGCTGATGTGCTTAGAATACAGAGCTCTTAATCCTCCTTATTTATTCCTTGTACCAATGAAATTCCATACTGACTAAGTTGAAAGAAAAATAGGCAGACTTCCAGTTCCCAGCTTGTAAAGTTTGATTGTCACTTTGAGGGAAGGTAGCTACTGATTCGTCTTCCTGCTTAGTGGCTATGACTATAAAATTTTTGCCAAGTGGGACACATAGGCAGGACATAAGAACAGAGCTCTACAGAGCTCTACAGAGAAACTAACTTTATTTAAAACAGGGTTGGGGAAGATCAAGCTTAATGGCAGTGCCCCCAAAAAAATCGTAGCTGTTTTTATAGTAAGCAGTTAGGAAGCTGACAGATTCATGAGAGCAAACAGCTAAACTGCAGTCCAGGTAACTTTCCACAGAGAAACAGGAAAAGAACTAAGACAAAAAACTCCTGGTGTCAAAACAAAGATTGGTCTCAGAAAGTACCACTGCAAAGGTCTCAGAATTGTATTAAGACTATATAGAATTATATTCCTCAGGGAATTGCTTGAACAAAAGAAAGATCAGCTAGCAGTTAATACTGACTATGTAATAGCTCAATATAATAGAAGAGAAAAAAAATGAGCCCTGCTAAACCTCTCTCATCCCATTTTAACTGTGCACATTTCCAGGGTTGTGCTTTCTGAGAAGTGACATAATAGGTTTTACATTGGAGAAGTAGACTTTACTAAAATATTACAGTCAACTAGTAAAAATAAAACAGTAAATAGTAACACCTTGTCCTAGAGTGATGATAGCCAGTATTGCTACCATATATTACCGACAATGTTTAATTTTCAACAACAAAAATAATTGAGACATAAAGAAAAAATATGACCTTATGGAAGAAGACTGGCCAAAAAAAAAAAAAAAAAACTCACCTTTGAAGGCCTAAGATGTTTTAGTAAGCAGACAAATATTTCAAATTGGTCATTATAAATATCTTAAAAGAACTAGAGGATACCATACCTCAGGAGGCAGTGATATAATAATTTTACAATTAGAGAATATAAATAAATAGGTAAGAATTATGGAAAAGAACCATATGGAAATCTGGAGTTTTAAAGTATAGTAACAAAAATTACAGTTTGAGAGATTTAACATTAGATTTTAACTGGTAGAATGAACAATCATTGAATTTGAAGATAGACTGATAGAAATCATCCAGTTTAAATAATACAGAATAAAGAAGTAAGTAAAATGCAGTTTTAGAGAAATGCCATAAGCCATTGAGAGTACCAACATATGTGCAGTGGTAGTGCCAGAACATGAGGATAACAAGCTGATAGAAAAAAATATTTAAAGAAATAATACCTGAGCATTTTCCATATCATGAAAAAATATTAAACATCCAAGAAGTGTAAAGAATTCCAAGTATAATAATTGCAAATAGATTCCTCCTTAGACACGTCAAAGTAAAATTATGAAAGTAAAAGCGAAAATCTTGGAAACATGAAGAGAATAATGACTGATGTACAAAGAAACCCAAATAGTACAGGAATAATCAACGCCACAGCGATGGGATATGACATATTAATAGTGTAGAAGAAGTAAATTCAAAATTTTACCTGAACTACGGCTAACATTCTTAAATCAAGGTAAAGACATTGCTAGATAAACAAAAACTGAGAATTTGTTTTTAGCAGAATCACCTCAAAACAAAAGCAAATTTTTGAGACTAAAGAATACTGACTCTAAACTGTAATTGAACTTCCTATGAAAAATCAGAGTGCCAGTCGTAATTATGTAATAATTATAGAGGCTAGTATAAATGCATATTTTTATCTATTAGCTGGCATATATGCCTATATACTATATACTTATAAATATTCATATATGTGTATTGTATGCAGTCATTTTCATACTTGTGTTTGGGAGCTTACAACATACAGAAATGAGATCTATTTAATAATATTACAAAGGATGTGGTTGAGAACAAAACTATGTTGAAATAAGGAAATAATTCTTGGTGGTAACTCAGATCCACAGGGGTAATATAAAAGAACCAGACAAAATAAGGATAATAAAATTCTAACCATTTTTCTCTGACCTGAGTATATATAATTACATAAGTATAGAATTTGGAGGATTTTATTGTATTATAATAATGACTCAAAAGGGAGAAGTTATAGAGATATATAGAGGTAATATTTTTATACTCATGTTAGTACAAATATGAAGTAGAGGTCTTTAGGATGTGTAAGAAAAGTCCTAGAGATAGATGTCAGCAACATGATAGAGTTGGAGGTGCCTGTTTTGTCCCTCTTCTCATGAATACGCCAAGTATGTACATACATGTGGATCAGTTATATCCAAGAGAAAGCCAAAATGTAATTGAAAGATGTTCACACGATGAATGATTGAGAAAATATCTACAACAAACTGGGAAGGATAAACTGAGGTATATGCATGGATAAACCTCACTCTGAGCACAGGCTATACAATTGGGAAAGAATCCTCAACTCACATCCTCTTCCTGAGGGATGATGGGTTGATAGCACACATATAATATCCCAGTTATTACATTCTCTACCAGAGGATTTTTCCCTTAAATCACGTTATATGAGGAGCACAAGGACTTGGCACTAGAGCATTTCCTTGAAGAACAGTAGAATGGGTGGGGGGTTGAACTGCAGGAGCACCGCCAGCAGCTGTATCTCCTGGGATCAGCACACCCTCTAGCTTCTCACTGGAAACAATTTGGCTGCACATTTCTGGCAGCTTCTTGTGTTTGTGTCTTCTATCATGCCTGTATCTAGGAGCCCAGTAGCAAATGAAGAATAAACCTCCTCAAGCATTAATGGGAGGGATGGCACTCCCTACATCTTCCTTGGATTGCTCCAGTGATTAATCCAGGCCTATAGTCTCCCTTGAAAGAGATTTGAGCCGGGCGCGGTGGCTCAAGCCTGTAATCCCAGCACTTTGGGAGGCCGAGGCAGGTGGATCACGAGGTCAGGAGATCAAGACCATCCTGTTCAACATGGTGAAACCCCGTCTCTACTAAAAATACAAAAAAAATTAGCTGAGTATGGTGGCGCGTGCCTGTAATCCCAGCTACTCGGGAGGCTGAGGCAGGAGAATTGCCTGAACCCAGGAGGCGGAGATTGCGGTGAGCCGAGATCGCGCCATTGCACTCCAGCCTGGGTAACAAGAGCGAAGCTCCGTCTCAAAAAAAAAAAAAAAAGAGAGATTTGAGACCTCAATGAGCAAGACTGGAATGGTCAAAATTCACCACGTTGTCTTCCCAGCTTGCTGCAGATATGTATAACCTTGCAGTCTCTCCCTGGAAGGAGACTGGGAGACAGACCTCTTACCTTGTATGCAAGGGACTGCACTTTACCTGCCTTCTTATGTACCAGCCTTGTTCCAACAATGTATTGGCCTGGAGATTCTGTGTAGAGTGAGTTTGTGAGACTTCAGGAAGCCTTAAAGGGAGATGAATGTTCTTTGCAATTTCTTCTTAAGATTGCTCCAGCAATATGTCCAGGCTTTCAAATGCTTACTAGCAGGAGGTTGTGTGACTTCATTGTGCCTGATTATGCGACTGCGTACTTCCCGTGCTTATCTGGCTTGCTTTGATGATAAATTCGTTTCTACAGACTTTGCCAGGGAGTAATTTGTACACATATTGACTACCCCATATTTTACATCCCTCATTCAAGGTACTGGCTCCTATATCACCCAGCTCTGGGAGTTGAAATTGCTCTTCATTCCTGACTCTCCTGTACCACTGAGAATAGGTGATTTTCAAACTTGGAAACATTCAGTAGTTATCTCCTCAGTTTCAGATTGAGTAGTCTCAAAGACACAACAAGTGTCTACCATAAATTCTCTACTTGGCGTGGTGCAAAATCAGTAGGAAGTAAACTTTGTCTCTCAGCGTCTTCAAAGGAAAGAAGGAACTGAAACACACCTATAGTTCGATCAGGAGCAGAGGGCGGACCCCAAAGAGCCCTGAGTAGCCCCACCGCTGCCGCCGGCCTAGTTACCATCACATCCCGGGAGGAGCCGTAGCTGCCACAGCCGGCCCCAGTCACCATCACCGCATACATGAGCAGCTAGGCCAAGACCCAGCAGCTGCCCGCCGCCCCCGCCCTCAGCGCCGCCGACACCAAGCCCGGAACTACAGGCAGCGGCACAGGGAGTGGTGGCCCGGGCGGCCTCACATCGGTGGCGCCTGCCGGCGGGGACAATAAGGTCATCGCAACGAAGGTTTTGCGAACAGTAAAATGGTTCAATGTAAGGAACGGATATGGTTTCATCAACAGGAATGACACCAAGGAAGATGTATTTGTACACCAGACTGCCATAAAGAAGAATAACCCCAGGAAGTACCTTCGCAGTGTAGGAGATGGAGAGACTGTGGAGTTTGATGTTGTTGAAGGAGAAAAGGGTGTGGAGGCAGCAAATGTTACAGGTCCTGGTGGCGTTCCAGTTCAAGGCAGTAAATATGCAGCAGACCTAACCATTATAGACGCTATCCACGTTATAGGGGTCCTCCACGCAATTACCAGCAAAATTACCAGAATAGTGAGAGTGGGGAATAGAACGAGGGATCAGAGTGCTCCCGAAGGCCAGGCCCAACAACGCCGGCCCTACGGCAGGCGAAGGTTCCCACCTTACTACATGCGGAGACCCTATGGGTGTCGACCACAATATTCCAACCCTCCTGTGCAGGGAGAAGTGATGGAGGGTGCTGACAACTAGGGTGCAGGAGAACAAGGTAGACCAGTGAGGCAGAATATGTATCGGGGATATAGACCACGATTCCGCAGGGGCCCTCCTTGCAAAAGACAGCCTAGAGAGGATGGCAATGAAGAGGATAAAGAAAATCAAGGAGATGAGACCCAAGGTCAGCAGCCACCTCAACGTCGTACCGCCGCAACTTCAATTACAGAGGCAGACGCCCAGAAAACCCTAAACCACAAGATGGCAAAGAGACAAAAGCAGTGGATCCACCAGCTGAGAATTCGTCCCCTCCCGAGGCTGAGCAGGGCGGGGCTGAGTAAATGCCGGCTTACCATCTCTACCATCATCTGGTTTAGTCATCCAACAAGAAGAAATAAGAAATTCCAGCAGTAAGAAATGAACAGAAGATTGGAGCTGAAGACCTTAAGTGCTTGCTTTTGCGCATTGACCAGATAAATAGAACTATCTGCATTATCTATGCAGCATGGGGTTTTTATTATTTTTACCTAAAGATGTCTCTTTTTGGTAATAACGTGTTTTTTAAAAAGGCCTGGTTTTTCTCAATACGCCTTTAAAGGTTTTTAAATTGTTTCATATCTGGTCAAGTTGAGATTTTTAAGAACTTCATTTTTAATTTGTAATAAAAGATTACAACTTGATTTTTTCAAAAAAGTCAACAAACTGCAAGCACCTGTTAATAAAGGTCTTAAATAATAATAATAAAAAAAAACACACCTATAACACTAATCCTTCCAGCTGCATTCTTAGCGACCAGTTCCTGCCTCAAGGCAAAATTATGACTTGGTTTATCCTCACCTCTGGAGGCCAGTAAAAGTGGGTTATAGAAGAACAAAGTTAAGAGGCATCTAGAATCTTTCACTGGGTTATTTGGGGAGAAATATCTCCTTCTCAAGGTCAGTTTAACAAGACTGGTGGAGGAGGTTATCTTATCTCATTCACAGAAACCGACACATTGAGTCGAGAAAAATGAAGACATAGGGAAATAGGTTCTAAATAAAAGAAAATAAGTCTTCAGAAGTCAACCGTGATGAAATGAAGATATGTGGTTAACCTGACAGGAAATTAAAAAGAGCAGTCATAAAGAGGTTCACTGAGGTGTTGGGAGCAATGCATGAACAAACTGAGAATTTTCATAAAGAAAAGACATCAAAAAGTATAAAGTTGAAGAACACAATAACTGGATTCAAAAATTTAGTAGATGTGTCCAACAGCAGAATAGATGAAGCAGAAGAAAGGACTATGAAACTTATAGATAAGCCATTGGAAATCATTTAATCTGAGGAGAAAAGAGAAAAAAGACTGAAGTTAGTTTAAGAGAATTTTGGGACTCCTTCAAAGGGGAATAATTTATAAATTGCCAGATGGAGAAGATAGAGGGAAAAGGCCAGAAAACATATTTGAAGAAATAATGTCAGAAAACCTTGGAAGTCTGGGAAGAAAATAGAAATTTAGATCTAGGCCGGGCGCGGTGGCCCAAGACTGTAATCCCAGCACTTTGGGAGGCCGAGGCAGGTGGATCATGAGGTCAAGAGATCGAAACCATCCTGGTCAACATGGTGAAACCCTGTCTCTACTAAAAATACAAAAAAAAAAAAAAAAAAAAAAAATTAGCTGGGCATGGTGGCGCGTGCCTGTAATCCCAGCTACTCAGGAGGCTGAGGCAGGAGAATTGCCTGAACCCAGGAGGCAGAGGTTGCGGTGAGCCGAGATCACGCCATTGCACTCCAGCCTGCGTAACAAGAGCGAAACTCCGTCTCAAAAAAAAGAAAAAAGAAATTTAGATCTAGGAATCTCAACGTTAGGTAGGATGAATCCAAGGAGACTGAGACCAAAACATATTGTAATAGTCAAAGGTAAAAGAATCTTCAAAGCAGCAAGGGAATAGTCTCCTTTTACATACAAAATGGTCCATGGAAGACTGTCAACAGACTTCACCAGGAAACTTTCAGGCCAGAAGGTAGTGGGTGATATATAGAAAAAGCTGAAAGGAAATCACTGCCATCTAGGAATACTGTCGGCAGCAATCCCGTGTTTCAAAAATGAAGGAGAAATATAAAGTTCTCAAACAAAAGATGTGAGAATTTACCACCACTAGACCTGCATGGGAAGAATTGCTAAAGGGAGTCCCTCCTTCAAACTGTAGTAAAAGGATGCTAATTAGAAACAAGAAAACATTTGATTATAAAGCTCCCAGGTAAAAGTAAGTATATAGTCTGCTAGGTGTGGTGACTCACGCCTGTAATCCTAGCAGTTTCGGAGGCTGAGGTGGTGGATCACCTGATTCCAGGAGTTTGAGACCAGTCTGGTCAGCACGGTGAAACCCCGTCTCTACTAAAAATACAAAAATTAGCTGGGTGTGGTGGTGTGTGCCTGTAATTCCAGCTACTTGGAGGCTGAGGCAGGAGAGTCACTTGAACCCAGGACGTAGAGGTTATAGTAAGCCAAGATCATGCCACTGTACTGCAGCCTGGGTGACTGAGTGAGACTGTCTCAAAAATAAAACAAAACAAAAGTACATAGTCAAACTGAGAATACGCTAATACTATAATGGTGGTGTGGAAACAGATTATAAAAGTTAAGACAAAATTATAGCAACAAATTATGCAAATTATAAAATGATATAAATTATGTCATCAGGAACATAATGTGGGGGTGGATGGAAGTAAAAGCATAGCATTTGAGTAATTGACCTAATTTTAGTTGTATTAATTTAAAAGTCTCATAAGTGTAAGAGGCTTTGTGTAAGGTTCATTGTAGTCACGAGATTTGCAAAAAACTCGTAGTAGTTCTGCAGAATATAAAAAGAAAGGGTTGAAAGCATACCACTACAGAAAAACATTGAGTCACATAAAAAAAAGCAAGAGAAGAGAAAATCAAAGATTTGTAATCAACTAGAAAGTAAATTGCAAAATGACAGTAGAAATTCTTTACCTATCAATAAGTACTTTGAATATAAATGGATTAAATTCTCTAATCAAAGTACATTAAAGTGGGTGAATAGATATTGAAAAGTCTTATCTATGTGTTGCTATGTTGCCTTCAAGACAGTTTAAGTACACATGTAAATTGAAAGGGAAAGGATGGACAAAGATGTGCCATGTAAATGGAAACCAAGAGAGCAGAGGAAGATATACTAATATTTACATCAGATGAAATAGAATTAAAGTAAAAAATTGTAAGCAGAGACAGAGTCATATAATGATAAAGTGGTCTGTTCATGGGATATAAAAGTCATATATGCACTCAACATTACAACACCTAAATCTATAAAGCCAATATTAAAAGCTTTGAAGGAAAATATAGACTGAAATGCAATAATACAGTAATTGTTGGGACTTTCAGCACACCTCTTTAAGCAATGGTAAGATTATTCAGCCAGAACATCAATAAGGAGACATCAGACTTAAACCCACATTTGAAAACCAAAGTTGACCAAATGGACCCAAAAGACATTTATGTGGTCTTCTGTTCAACAGCAGTGAAATACACATTTTTCAAAAGTCCACACAGAATATTCCCCAGAGGAAATCATATCTTAGGTCATATAACAAGTCTTAAGAATTTTAAAAGATTGACATCATATTGAGTATCTTTTCTGACCATAATGGTATGAAACTAGAAATCAATTATATGAGGAATTTCAGAATATTCACAAGCACATGGAAATTAAATAATGTATTACTTGTCCATCAGTGGTTCAAGGAAGAAATTAAGAGTTATTTGCAGAAAAACAAAAATGAAAACAAAGTACTAAAACTTATGCAAAAAAAAAAAAAAAAAGCAATTCTAGGAGTGAAGGTTTAGCAATAAATGCCTACAAGTACAAAGAAGAAATATCTCAAACAATTTAATGGTACATCTAAGATAACCAAAAGAAGATAATAACAAAGATTATAGTATGTATAAATGAGACTAGAAAAATAATAGTACTAGAAAAACTACAAAACAGGTGATATTTTAATAAATAATAAAATTCAGCAATAAACAATAAATAAAAGACCAAAACTGAGTAAGAAGGCTGAATCAATAATTGAAAGTTTCTCATGAAAGAAAACCAGGAACTTACAGATTCCCTTCTGAATTCTACCAAACATTTAACCCTTTTCTCATTTGCCCCAAACTTGCCACATTTACCCTGAGATAAATTTGCTAAGAAATATCTTGCTTTTATTGTTTTTACATTGTTCTAATATATTGAGTTTGGAAGCAAAACACATCTTTCGATTTATGGTAGTGGTATTTCCATTTACAAAGTATAGTAATTTTCAATCACTGAAAATCTCAAATTCTAGAAAATGTAGCATTCCTATGCATAATGTTAATATCATTCTTGAACAGTTGTTGTCCAAAGATATTGATTTTCTTCGGAAATAAACAATTCTGATGATTCACATGTTAGTTCTGTTTAGAAATAACATGAAGAATAGTTTGTGCATTTTATTTTCACACTGAAAATCAGTGAGATTTGTGTCAGCCTCAAAGAGCATGTTTATGTAAAATAAGTGCTGGCATCGGGCTGCCCTTTTTTTCCCTAAATGAGTAAAAGATTAAAGAAAAGCTAATACCAATCCTTTTCACACTGTATGTAAAAGTCGAAGAGGAGGGAATAAGTTCCAATCACGTTTTATGAGGCCAACATTAATCTGATACGAAAGTCAGATGAGGATACTAGAAGAAGGCAAAATTACAGGCCAATATCCCTGATGAACATAGATGCAGAAACCCCCAAGAAAATGGCAGGAAACTGAATTCAACAACAAATTAAAGAGATAATTTTTCCATGATCACATGGGGAGATAACCTTTTGCATTTAAGGATGGTTAAACATACACAAATCAGTAAATTTGATACATCGCATTAAAATGAACATCAAAAACTACATGATGTCTCAATACTTCCAGAAAATAATTGACAGTATTTAACAACTTGCTTTTTTCTTTGAGACAGAGTCTCTGTCACCCAGGCTGGAGTGCAGTGGCACGATCTCGGCTCACTCCAACCTCCCCCTCCCAGGTTTTCCTGCCTCAGCCTCTTGATGTTCTAAGTAAAATTTCAATGCTGCAAAAGAAATAGCACTTGAAGATAAATCCTCTCAGCCAGGCAGTTTACTTCCATAGAAGGGTGTGGCTCACGGATGGAGCAATGGTGGCGGCACCTTTGGACAAGGGCGGGAAGGGGTACTATGCCTGACAGGGGTCCTCCCTACTGCTGTGTCATTCCCCTGTTGGCTAGGGTTAGACCACACAAACTAGACTAATCCCAATTGGCTATTTTAAAGAGAGCAGGGGTCCGACCTGGGTGGCAGGGTGGGTGTTTTGGCAGGAAGGAAGGTTGTGGGTGGGTCAGATCAGGTAGCCAGGGGTGACCTAGGTCAAAGAATATGACCGGAGCACGTGACCTGGATGAGTCAGGATGGAGCCGGGACTGGGGAAACGTGAACTACTGATTAGAACAGGTGGAGAAGGTTGTTTACTGGAATTACAAGGAAGTTAAACTTTAAAGTAGAGAATTAAAGAGTAAGAGAGCTGAACATACATACTGATTTTTTGAAGAGAAAGTTGGGGTTCACTGTAACAATCCCCCATCTTAAATTTTTAGTTTTTTTTTTTTCCTCTTCAAACTTCCTTAACATGTCTTGGCTTAGTTGTTTTGCTATCCCGTTGACAGCATCCCTGGTGGAATTAATAAACCGCTGCTGATCATGATGTAATTTATTTAATTTACATTTTTATTAATTGTTACCTGTGAAAATACTGACTTAAATCCGCAGCTATTTCATCTCGGATTTTAAATGTATTTGGTAACTCCAATAGTGTTTACATGAACATGGGCGTTAAAGGACCCATGTGAGGTACTTCTTTCTTTCTACAGTTTTTCTTTTCTTTTTTTTATCGTGTTGATGGAATGCTAGGGTGAAAAGAATGGCCAAGTAGACTAGAGCACAGATGCTGCTCTAATTACTTGGCAGAGTACCCAGCAATAGTCCCCTACAATGCCACCACGCATTTGCTTGGGGATGAACAAGGGCAGATTGATTGATAAGCTCTTGAAAAGGCTTGGTTTTACTACACCCTGTTAAGTCTTCAAGGAATGTCAACTTTTCCCCCTGTCATGAAAGGGAGGTACATCAGAGGCTGGAGGCCAGATGGCCCTTGGGGACTGACCCGCAGGGCTCTTAACCTCAGGAAACAACAGTGAAAGAGTCTTACATGACTCCTCGCTGCAGGCTGTGGGGTTCTGGAAGAGAGCTACCATACAGCTCATGCCCAGTCTGTGAGCAGTCTACCCAAGTGGAAAGTGGACAGTCTGGGTCTCTAGCCTGCCTGTCGCACAAGTGTAATAGTCACTCGTTTAGCTTGGAAACAATATCTAATCCATTCCAACCAAGCATTTGTATCCTGATACCCTGTTTCAGTTGCCATAGTTTGTTTTAAATCTTTAACCTCTACAATTACTTTGGTTTTATCCTTGGGTAGATGGCGAAAGGAGGTTTTGTTAGCAGAAAACTTAGGAGAGGGAGAAGGGATGAAGGAGGTGAGGAGGCAATAAAGCACATTTTAAAGCAATCTGTGGGGTCCTTTCCTGAGACTTATGCTCCTATACCATAGAAACGGCTTAATGAAGGGGAAGAACTCTAGAGAACAGAGACAGTAATCTGTCTTACAATGGGGAGCGGTAACTAGTAAAATGAATATATAATTTTAAGAAACTACAAGTACCAGTTGGGGTGGTTCATCCTTGCTCTTTAGTGGTCCACAGAACGTTGGACCAACTACAGCATAAAAGCTCTGTATCCAGGGGGCAAGACTCGAAGTTGACAATGGGGTCTTTATTGAAATCTTCCCAGACTAAATGGTCCTAATGCACTAATGTCCAGTCTGAGGAGAACCAGGAAAAGCAGTTATTTTTCTGAAGTAGAGAGCTGTCTGACTTGGCAAGTCCCCAGAGGGTGTAACAAGGCAAGCATCAAATGT